ACGTAGGGAGACTTTATCATTCCCTCATCTTTTAATGATGTAATAACTGGTCTGTCTTCCCTGGACTCTGAATTTCTTCAGAACATAACATGAGATGTGAGGCTCTTTGCCCTCAGCAGAGCACACAGTAGATGATTCACTTGAATTTGTTGCATATCTACCAATGGATGGGTGAATGGGTGGACTGATGGGTGGATGGATGGACAAATAAATGGATGAGTGGATAGATGGATGGGTGAACGAATGGATGTATGGGTGGGTGGGTGGCTGAATGGATGGATGGGTGGTGGATGGGTGGATGGATGGATGATGGATGGATAGATGGATGATGGATAGATGGATAGATGGATGGATGGTTGGATGGGTGGTGGATGGATGGATGGATGGATGGATGGAGGATGGATGGGTGGATGGGTGGATGGGCGGTGGATGGGTAGATGGATAGATGGATGATGTATAGATGGATGATGGATAGATGGATGGATGGATAGATGGATGATGGATGATGAATGGATGGATGGATGGATAATGAATGGATGGATGGACAATGAATGGATAGGTGATGCGTGAATGGATAGATGGATGGATGGATGGATGGATGGATGAATGGATGGACAGATAGGTAATGGTAAGATTTTTGATAGAAAGATCGATAGATAGTTAGAGGATAGGGGGTCGGGAGCAGGACAAAGGGCGACCACGGTGAGAACTCGCGGGCCGGGCAGGCAGCCGAGCGTTGTGGGGATCAGGGCACCATTGGCTCGTAGGTGCCATGCTGCTCTAAATCCAGCTCTTCCGCTCAGACTCCAGGCCAAGGTCACCCCTAAACTTCACTCTACAATCCGCCCCGAAGAGAAAGGAGCCACGGGCCATCACTTCCGTCCCGTTTCCCACGCATCACAGGGTTCCCCTTCTGAACTCTCCCCCACTTTTACTTTTTCCATTTGTTTTACTATTTTTTATTGTGGTCAAGTATAATTTTTTTAAAAAAAAGTAAGAGAATGTTGCCTTTTAAACCACTTTATAAGGTGTTCGGTTCGGTAGCACTGATTACACTCAGAAGGTTTCACGACCCTCACCGCTACGAACAAAACTTTCCCTCGCCCCCAACAGAAGCTTATACTCATTATGGGATGTGCTCCCACGTTCCCGCGCCCCTCCAGCCCCTG